GGCTCTTGAATCGGGTGCAACCACAACAAACAAAAAAACAAAAACACGAACAAGAAAACATCTTAAAGTGACTATATGACTGTGCAAACAGAAAATCCATGAGAAAAAACAGTTGATGAAACATTTAGAGAGATTCTGTGTTTACGATAGGTGGTCCATGTTTCTGCACCATATAAGAGGGTTGGAATGATGACTGCATTATACACTGCCACTTTGTTCTTGGCGGTAATGTCGTGGTCTTCAAAGACCCTGTTCTTAAGTTTGCCAAAGTCAGCACCAGCTCGGGCAATCCGATGTTGGATTTCATAATCAATTAAGATATTGCTGGAGAGATGGCTGCCTAAGTATGGGAAACTGGGAACGTTTTCTAGTATTGCATTGTTGATAATGATTGTAGGGGGTGGTAGGTGTCCTCCCGGAGCTTGTTAAAAAATAATCTTTGTTTTGATGGTATTCAATGTTAGACCCATCCTGCTGTAAGCATCTGTAAATATGTTGACGATGACCTGAAAGTGCCTGCTCAGAAGCTGACCGACTTGGGCATCATCAGCATATTGGAATTCAATAACGGATGTGATGTTTTCGACTTGGCTCTGAAACGGTTGATGTTGAATATGTTCCCGTCTGTCCTATATGTGATATTTATGCCTTTGGGAAGTCTGTTTTCTGTCAGATGAAGCATTCCTGCCAGGAAGATGGAGAGAAGAGTTGGTGCAATAACGCAGCCTTGCTTTACACCAATCCTTACTTCGATTGGCTCTGAGGTTTCACCATCAGAGGATGACAGCCTTCATACCGTCATTCAAAAGACGGAAGACGTTAACAAATTTTGTTGGGCAGCCATATCTCAGAAGGATTCTCCAGTGCTTCACGATTAACAGAATTTAAAGCTTTAGTCAAATCAAAGAAGGCCATGTACAATGGTAGTCTCTGCTCCTGGCACTTCTCTTGGAGTTGACGGGCTGAGAAGATCATGTCTGAGGTTCCCCTGCCAAGTCAAAAGCCACTCTGCAATTCAGGAAGGAGTTTTTTGGCAAGTGGTAGAAGTCTGCTTAGTAGGATTCTTGCCAATATTTTTCCAGCGGTGGCAAGAAAAGATTCCTGTGGTTGTCAGTCTGACTTGTCACCTTTTTTGAAGACGGTGACAATGATGGCATCTTTCAGTTCGTTGGGAAGGTCTTCATCATTCCAGATCCTGGCCATGAGGGAGTGCAGGTGTTCTAGTAGGCGTTGTCCCTAATGTTTGTAAATTTCAGCAGGAATCTGGTCGAGCCCACTAGCTTTGTTCTCTTTCATCTGCTTGACACTGCAAGTATCGTTGGTGCTCTAACTAAATCCTCAGTGGTAGAGTGTTGCGGAATCTCCCTGAATAAAGAAGCGTCTACAACAGCATTGCAGTTGAAAGGAGTGCTGAAGTGTTCCTGCCAGCGGTAGATGATTGCTTTTTGTCTTTGAAGATTTCTGTCCCATCCTTAGACTAAAGTGGTGCAAAGCCCTGTTTTGATGGTCCATATAAGACTTTGGTTGCTTTAAAAAATGTATGTGGGTTATTGGAATCTGCAAGATGTTGTATTTCTTCTGCTTTTTTCTTAACCAATTGTTCTTCACTTCCCGGATTTTAGTTTGTACTTCTGATTTGGCCTCCTTATTATTGTTTTTCTGTCTTAACTGTGTTGTTGCCAGGCGATTAATGCTTTCCGCTTCTCGTCAATGAGGCCTGTGATTTCCTGGTCGTTGTCATCAAACTAGTCACAGTTTTTCCTTCTTGTGTAGCCAATGGTGTTTTCACAGCTGGTTATGACTGCCATCTTCAGTTGTGTCCAGTACTCATGAACATTTCCTGAAGCCTGGTTGGTGCTGCGTCTTTGAGCTAGTTGTTTTTTCAATCGGGCCTGTACAGCTGGGTTTTTTAATCTGGTTACATTGAGTTTTTTCCTCTGTAGTTTGATCAGTTCATGTGTTTGTGGTTTAGTTTGTGAGTCATCACTGATCGAATTAGTCTGTGGTCAGTCCAGCAATCGTCTGCATTGATCATGGCACGAGTGATGCGGACGTCTGTTCTGTCAAGCTTCCTGACAATCACGTAGTCCAGTGAATGCCATTGGTGTGATCGAGGGTGGCACCAGGATATCTTAAGGCTATTCTTCTGCCTGAACAGGGTGCTGGTGATTGTCACGTCGTGCTCAGAGCAGGTTGTAAGAAGAAGGTGGCCATTGGAGTAGGACTTTCCAACTCCCTCAACCAATTACACCATTCCACATTTGATGGTCTCTCCCAACTCGAGCATTGAAGTCGCCGAGGAGAATCAGCTTGTCAGTTGTTGGTGTACTCTGAAGAATTTGGTTGAGTTGGCTGTAGTAGGTTTCCTTGGTGTCTTCTTCAGAGTCCAGTGTTGGTGCATAGGTTCTGATGATGCTTGCATGTTGGTCTTTTGCGAGTTTCAGGCGTAGGGTCATAAAGCGCTCATTGATACCAATTGGGAGCTCACTTGAGCTGCTGATGAGCATGTTGTCCATTGCAAACCCTACAGCATGCAGGTGTCGCTCATGCGCTGGTTTACCCTTCCAAAAGAAGGTGTAGCCTCCACTTAGCTCAGTCAGTTGGCCTTCATCCGCCAGATGGGTTTCGCTGAGGGCGGCAATATGGATATTAAAACGTCTCAGCTCGCGTGCCACAAGAGCTGTTCGGCGCTCTGGACGTTGCGAGCTTGGATTGTCTGTGAGGGTCCTGACATTTCAGGATCCAATATTTATAACTGCAGGTGTATAACCATAAAATGTGTGTTGTCTCCTTCAAAGTGGATGTTAAAGTTCCCCTGAAGTCAATAAAAAACTAATAGCCCATTATGTGCTAGCATCATGGTCAAAATTTGTGAAATTCAAGAAATTACCTACAAATTACCGTATTTTCACACATATAACCCGCGGGGTATGCCACTTTTTACAAACAAAACAAGACCCTGCGGGGTATATGGAGGTGTGGTAGGACTATCCACTATGCAACACTTACCTTTGACTAAAGCACTGCTGAATAAACCACTCACACTAAAATTGCACGTTATCACGTGTTAAATGAATTGTTTGTACAATTAAACGACAATGTTTGAAGTGCGCACTGTTTACCAGCGACGGGAGAGCTGGGGTGAGAGAGGTGGGGGTTGGGGCAGAGCAGGGTCTGTGGTGGTGTGTTAAATGAATTGTTTGTACAATTAAACGAAAATGTTTGAAGTGCGCAGTGTTTACCAGCGACGGGAGAGCTGGGGTGAGAGAGAGGTGGGGGTTGGGGCAGAGCAGGGTCTGTGGTGGTGACGAGAGAGCTGGGAGGAGAGAGAGGTGGGGGGTTGGGAGTTGGGGCAGTTGGGGGGAGAGAGAGAGGTGGGGGGGGCGAGGCGACGGCCTACCGTAATTCTGCTATTGTCTGCGCAGTGCGCAATCTACCAGTGCTAAAACTACTTACTTATCTACCAGTTATGTGTTACTAATTTATTGGATATTTACTTTTGTTACTTATTTACTGTTTTAAGTTCACTTTCCAGTTAGTTTGTTTTCTTTGTGCACGTTATGATTTTAATGTTAACAATTGATAGTGGAATGTATTACAAATGTAAACTTTGTATTAATGATGGAATTAGGCTGCGGTAACGATGTTAAAGATATGAATGCATGCGGGGTATATGGAGGTGCGGCCTATCTGAAATTTGTTTTACACAAAACGCTATTTTTGTGGGGTATATGCGTTTGCGGGTTATATGCGTATGCGGGCTACATGCCGGACAATACGGTACTCAATTGGGATTACATATAGGAATCACCACCCCCAACTGTGAAATAACTGCAGACTGTCTGTAAAACAAAGCAGCGCCTTCGTGAGAGACCTACGCTAAAAGAATGGCGCGAATACCAAATATACCAAATTATTCGAATTGCCACTGCAAAATTACAGAGCCTGCTAATAATAACAAATGAACGGTCAAAGTTACATTTTAACTGCTTGTCCCATTCCCACACACCCCTAAATGATACAAATTCCTTACATAGCCTAACCCACACATCTATTACGAATACAATCCAACTTATATCAAAACCTGCAACCGTCCACATCTTGTGCCCGACTCTGCCAGCACCTCACTACGCAATACGGCTCTCCTGTCACAACCTCTCAATTCATTAGTTCCGTTTTGAACTGGAACTGGCTCACAACTGTAATGCCTAATGCCCTTAAGGACCATATTCTTAAGGTCGTATTCTTGGTTCTAACTTGGCTCAGCTCAGGCTTGAGCCGCTCGGTTGCTTTCAAAGACGCACGAGTGACTCAGCCATGTCTCGGGCCGGGCTCTGCTCATGGAAATCCTGAACGCAGCTGGGACCGTGCTCAGAGCTGGCCCAAGTTAAGCATGTCTTTGAGCCGGCTCACTTGAGCCAGAGCCAAGCCTGAGCCAAAGCTATGACAAAGAACACAGACCAAAAGCAAATAATTCCGTAACCTTCCTGTTCAAATGCAAAAAAAGAACATTCTTAATTATCAGATCCAGCTCTTGCAGCCTTGCCATATAACATGCTCATCTGTAACTATTTTCAGAAAAATCAGTTATCACTTCTTTGGAACCTCAGTAATCACTGTATGGTGTCCTGCATTATATTTCCTAAATATGTTAATTATCTCACAAGAATAATTATAACAATAACCGTTTAGAATTGTATAATTTAATATGTATTTTAGGTTTCCTCCAAAGAGGGATGGTGTCAGAGTTAGGATTGGTCCGATGCTGCTGAGATGCACTCCTATTTTTTTCAGCTATGGGAGCAGAACCTGAGAACACGGAGGAAACCCATGCAGAACAGGAGACTATACAAACTCCACACCGAAAGGCAACCGATTCGGGAATCAAACCTAACCCTTTCTTCCTGTGAGGCACACATGTTATCACTGTGCCACCCTACCACCCAAACTTATGCCAGGTCTGGTCAGGGCAGGTGCTCCGCTGTGGGAGGTGAATGTACCTTCCGCTTGATGTGCTCCAGCAGATTCTCTTGGCCTCGGATGAAGTATGGGTGCTGGAACTCCGTCTCATCCTTTTCCGGCTTCAATAGCCCTCCCTGCTCAATGTTGACCACTTTGCGAAATCCATCTGAGAGATCACAGCATCACCACCACCTTGTCAGGGAAAAATATAACTGAATGTTTGATATGTTACACCATTCTTATAGTGCAATGATATGAAGACGCTATATTGCAGTCTTTCGGAATTTTACAGTAGGGAGCACTGTTGCTACGTGTTATTTTATTTTATTTCTACCAACGTGACTTGACTGAAAGAACCAAAGAGTATGAGAACTGGGAGTTATTTTTTCATTTGGCAAATTTGAACCTGACGCCAAAGAGAACATACAAACTCCACGCAGAAAGAAGCCCAAGTCGGGAATAGAACTAAGGGCCTTCTCGCTGTACAGCACAGGTGTTACCACTGCACCATCCTGATGTCCAAATTGTTTATATTTAATATGCAATTCCACAATTTGTATCCATAGAGCTGTGAAATGTAGTAGTACAGGGGGTCCACGATGTCGTCTCAAATAGGTTGTTTCACACTCACGTCACAGACTTTGTGAGGAACACAACGTGAAATGTCCCTGCATATATACGTCGTTTTTGACTAAGTTCAGCTGAGCCGAGTCAAAAACATGGTGCGTGGGTGCGTAGCGGGTAGCGCACTGCCCTTCGAGCCCGGCCACCCAACTTCGATTCCCACTCATGGCCAACACCAGTGATGATTATCATTTTCAACACGATTGAACTCGACTCTGGTGGGGGGGGGAGGGGAGACGTACTATACAGCTCGTGCATGTGCCCCCAATATCTTTAGTCCAATCGTGATATCTCACGTACGTACTAAGTGTTCATTGTAATTTGCGTGAACTAAATCGCAAAAAATTGTCAACCCATCAACACTACTCATCCACTCCTCAAGGCAAGATCATAAAAGTTATAGGTTAAGGTAAAATATGTTTACAATGTTAAAGAGTGTGCTTTTTTACACTAAAAATGTTTTCTGTTTGAGTCATTGCTTAAAAATGTCACGTACGTTTTCTATTAAAAAAGTAAAATTATTGAAAGTGTACAGGGCTGCTTCCAAGTGCTCATAAATTTTTTTCAATGAAGTATTTCATAAATGTAAATGCTGTTTAAAGGTTTTGAACTCAGAATTGGTTATAAATGTGTACATTGTGTTGTGCAGTATGGTACAGGTAGTGTACATGTACAATAAGTATTTTGGTGGCTATTTATTCTTATGGGGGAAAATTCCCCGTTATATGTAGCTTCGTTATAAGTTGCAACTTTCCGGTCCCTAACCCCAACGTATATCAGGGATCCCCTGTACCTTACAATTAAATCAACCAATACAAATGAACATTTTTCATAACAAATCCCGTATGATATATATATAGTTCTTACCCGTGAAGTTTTACTCCAGCGGAAGTGCATTTGCCCATGTGCTACCGTTACCCTGTGTAGGCAGGCAATGCCACGTACCAGCGTTTGCCCATGGGTGAGGTAATGTAGATATACGTACACATATTGAGTTGTCTCACAAAGCTGGCCATGTTGTTATGCTTGAAGTACTTGGGCAGCACCTCTTTGGCAAAGTGACCCTGGTCGAACACATGGAAGCTGAGTCCATTCTGAAAAGACAGGGTTGCACACATTTCCTTCAATTCATCCGTGTTACCCTGGTTAAAACATATTTCTATACAAGAGACCACACTATCGCAGTAACATGAAAGTGGATGAGTCACATTTTGATTTAAAGCTTTCGTGACTGCAAGGATTCATCTTCTTTGGTTCTTTCGGTAAAGTCACGTAGAATGAGAATAAAATAATAAATTGATAAAATAAAATAACACAATAATATTCTCACGACGTTTCGGCCACAACACAAGCGGCCTTCATCAGGTGAAGGGACGAGACTGTCTGGTAGGACAGCGCTGGAGTGAAAAAGCCACGCTCAGATCATGACCTGTAAGCTGTGTGAGAAGAAACAAAGCACCTTGACAAAGGAATTAGCATATAATTTAGCATTGAAATGGCTGAGTGATTATCTTGTGACTGGTCACAGAAATGGCTATGTTAAAGTTAAAGCATACACATCCGCAAAGGCACCCCTTGACAAAGGAATTAGCATAGAATTTAGCATTGAAATAGCTGAGTGATTAGCTTGTAACTGGTCACAGAAATAGCTATGTTAAAGTTGGAGCATATACATTCACCGAGGCACCTAGTACAAAGCAAACAGGAGAATTTGGCATTGAAATAACTAGGCGAATTTAGCATTGAAATAACTGAGTGATTAGCTAGTGACTGGTCACAGAAATGGCTATGTTGAAGTCAAGACCTACACATCTGAGCTATTCACAGTAACTGGGTATACAATACAATATATAATGAATACTATATAGTGAACCAATAAAAAACTAAAATATAAATTACCTCAATGTTATCAATAAACTCTATATTTTCCAATCAGCTAAGCTACCAACAATAAGTCGTTATATATCACAATGCTATATGGCGAAAAAATGGGTGGATTCTTACCCTCAACTTTAGCAACACGGATAGCTACGGGTCCCGTTCAGACGGACGAGTTCATCCATGGTCGGAACAGAGGAGGGGGAGAGAGACAGCTTCGAGGCGCTGTTATACTCCATGTTGTAAACCATACCATTAACCGTGGTGTGAGAGGTATTAAGAGTCAATGCCAGCGAAAGAGCTGCGGTCTGAAGGTCATCGTAAAATACAATTAATTAAGAACGGAAATGGTTTAAAACATCTTTCCAATGGTTACTAAGCCAGAATCTTGGTATCGGAGAAAATTATATCGTGATCACCCACAGTGATCAGCTACAGCTGATCACTGTTACAACACTGTGGGTGATCACGATATAATTTTCTCCGATACCAAGGTTCTTTGAAAACCCACGGGTTTTTATCAGAGATTTGTTCACGAGGCAATTCAGATTTACAAACACAGACACAATTTCAACCGAGAGGATGGTTTCAAATTAAGCAACCATTCGAAAGATGTTCTGAATCAAACCAAACATTAAACTAATTTTCAATGGTACAGTATATTTTTTTAAGTAGCGGTATCCCAAAATTTCGCAGCTGCTCAAATTCCCTTTTCACACCATCAATATGTAAACTCCCCCCCCCTCCCCCCCTCGCCGGTCTGCACTTGCTCCCCCCCTGTACATCATTCATCATGCTAAGTCCGACAATTAAATGCTAATTTTATGCTAATTCCTTTGTCAAGGCGCTCTGCTTCCTCTCACACAGCTTAAAGGTCACGGTCTGAGCTTGGCTGTGTTCACTCCAGCGCTGTCCTCTAGACAGTCTACTCCCTTCACCTGATGAAGGCTGCTTGTGTTGTGGCCGAAACGTCGTGAGAATATTGTGTTATTTTATTTTATCAATTTATTATTTTATTCTCATTCTACGTGACTTTACCAAAATAACCAAAGATGGATGAGTCACCTATACACAAGCAAACGTAGCACCAGATCAGTATGCACAGATTCCATGTTTTATACATTCTGTGTATTAAAAACCAGATTATATTATTTACATGATTACATTGTTGCATGTCAAATTCATAGCCCAAATCACAAATTTGAACATTATTGTATGATTACTGCACAAGTGAGGCCCTCAGTCAGAGTGGATAAGAGTTGGGGACTGCACTTTACACCATGTAGCCTGATCATATTTTAGATGTTTCCTGAAACACTGTTTTTAAACTGCAACATGCATAGTTTCCTAGTGACAGCCATTGAATAACAAACCCTTCAACAAACAAAACTTTACAGGCCTACCTCTTATAACGCTGCCTCTTATAATGCTGTTTCATTATAACACAGTTTCGTTATAACGCTATTTATCCTGGACAAAAATCCCTGTGCAGATCAACCCATTTATGGAAAGTAGGTCTGGCGTTGCCCGTACGGGCATGTCTTTGCCCATATATTGTTTTGTGATACCTGAATCGAGAAGTCTATTGTATTGTTTCTGCTCATAGTCGATCCGACAGCCATGTTAGAGTATAGATTGGAGGATGAATCACTGCATCAATTTATTGATGATCCATGGATTGAGTAATCCTATTGGTTAGTACAATATAGCGACCCGTGGAAAGTATGCTTAGGCAGACGGTAGACAGCTGAGGGCTCGGGATACGTAGACAGCCCACATTGATTAAGCTGCATTTAACCTCTGGGTCACCTGATAACCGAGGGGGTGAGCAGATGACAAAGTGCGTTGGGGCAGCTTCTTTACATAAATAAAACCAACAAAACTCGGATTTAAGGGTGGCAGGGTGGTGCAGTGATAACACTTGTGCCTCATAGCAAGAGGAAATTTGCATGTCCTCCCTGTTCTGCATGGGTTTTCCTCTGGGTTATAGGGTTTCATAACACAACAAAAAAAACATGCAATATAACTGGTATTGGTCAAATATCCAAAAGCTGAAAAATACTGTCAAATTACTCAATTGAAATTACACACAGCTTCAACATCGCCTCCAACAGAAAAAACTTAGCAGAATCCTCCTGAAAAAAAGTCTTGAAACTCAGGTTTTCCTGGGAAAACAAGTATACGGTAATCATAATAGGTTGCGTGACCAAAATTTGCATCGTTGTAATTCGAGTGGTATGGACCATGTAATTTTCAAACAGAATAAAAATGGAGTGTCATTGCATCGCAGATTTAAAGTAAATTTTAAAAAAATAAAAAACCCACTATTCTCAGATTAACATTTAAAAATGAGAACAAATTATCTTAAATGCTAAATTCGACATTGCAAAAAGTTAACTTCTCAACCAACGTGTAAATCTATAAATTGCACTCTTATAAATGTTCCTAAGGCGTACACCAGATCCCAAGACCTGGACATGCCAGTTTACTCAATTGAGGCTCACAGGGAAGAAACTCGTGATTTTTGATGTTTTATCATTTTCCAAAATCTTTCATCTATGCTTCTCACTTGTGCATCTAAGTTACATTTATCACCCATTCCACCAAATTAATGTTTTAGTTCGCCGTCATGGAAATCATAACTGCCGATCTTTGATGGGGATGAATTGTGGATGTATGTTGAACTTCTTTCGCGCCATACGCAGCCAAACGTCATCAGAGGTGCGGGGGAAGGATTTATGGATTGATGTCTGATGATGGAATGATAATAAAAGAGCTATTATGTTTTATGTTTGATAGTGATGCTGATGGAACGATGGATTAATTATTAATGGAATGGTTTAATTAAGGTTTGATAGTGATATACGATAGATTAATGATGCTGCCAACGCTTGCGTCTCCCCAGGCCCTGGTGAGAGTTTGTCAGTGAGAAGCGGAGTGGAGAAAGGGGTGAGGAGAGGGGTATGGGTTGGGTATGTGTGTGAGGAGTGGGGTGAGTGTCCGGCAAAACAACCCCCTACCTCCTAGCGGTGCCGGACGGGCAACTCTGTCGTGGACAGTGCTGTGGGGAGAGGGCCAATTCCGATTGGCCCTCTCCCCTCATGGCGTCTGTGACCACCACAGTGGCTAAACGGGGGCTCTGGGCGGGTGCGAGGGGCTGGTAACCCCTCCACCATCAAAAAATTACCACAAAACCACGACTTAAATATGGCGTCTGTGACCACCATAGTGGCTAAACGGGGGCTCTGGACGGGTGCGAGGGGCTGGTAACCCCTCCACCATCAAAAAATTACTACAAAACCACGACTTAAATATATAACTAATAAGCTTGTGACGGAGGCCCCGGGGGGACAGGTGTCTATGACATATCCTGGCCAAACCCCAATTGGCGTAGCCAGGAGATTGAATCTCTACCCTCGGGGCTCCTCCAGAAACAACGAAAAGCCACTTCGTGTGGCCACGTGGAATGTTCGAATGCTCACTGCGGAGGAGAGGCTGCCACTCCTCTGTCGGGAGCTGGACCGGTACCGCCTGGATCTCTGTGGCATTCAGGAGGTCCGGTGGACCGGTTCTGGCTAATGCCACCATGAGGGGTGGACAGTCCTCTACTCGGGGCAGCAGACTGCCAAACAACAGGGTGTGGCTCTTCTTTTGAACAAAAGAATGAAGGGTGCGTGGGAGCGTGGCGGTGAGGTGTGGGAAGCTGTAAGCCCCAGGCTACTTTGGGCTCGCCTTCCCATCAACCGGAGGCGAGGAGTGGTGGTCGTGGTTACTTATGCCCCCACTGAAGACGAACATCCGTGGAGGGACGAAGGCAAAGCCGATGAGTCAGATGCCTTCTATGATCTCCTGTCATAGGTGCTGGCTAAAGTGGCCCCTCGGGATAGAGTCATCTTGTTGGGTGACTTCAATGCCCAAGTTGGTCATGATGCTGGCACCTGGTCTGCAGGGATTGGAGGGCATGGGCCAGATCAGTTCAATAACAACGGTAGGAGGCTGATAGATTTTGTGCAGCCCATGGGCTTGTAATTACCAACACGCTGTTCCGGCATCGGCGCATCCACACAACATCATGGATACATGCCGGGTCCAAGCAAGAACATCTGCTGGACTACATAGTGTCGGACCAGCGGATGCGAGCCCATGTCCTTGACACCAGGACCTACCGTGGAGCTGATCTGCCCTCTGACCATCGACTAGTCATCTGTAAGATGCGCCTGCCATTCTTCCACTCCGGGTGGTGGGTGTACACCCAGGACCCCATTCCAACCTAAAGTGGCCTGGTCTCAGTTAGCTGATGAAAGTTGCAAGCGAGAATTTCATCATCGCTTGCGGCTGGGGTTGGCATCGTCCCCCACTCCTGATGTCGAGGGTAAATGGGCGAGGTTTAGGACTGTGACTCATGCAGCTGCGATGACTGCTTTAGGTACACGGTCCAGACCTCCCCAGAGACCCTGGCTGACAGAGGTGTTCAGGATAGTTCAGAAAAAGCGATAGGCCCATCGTCATCGGCTACAGAATCCCACGTCAGAGAATGAGTCTTACCGCAGCCTTCGCTCGGAGGTTCGGAGAGCCGTGAGGCGCTGCAAGGATGGGTGTTGGTCGCGGGTTGCTGAGATGGAGTCTACCTCAGTGGCCCACGATCACAAATCTCTATTTATTTAACATCTGTTTTGACCACGTAGTTTGTGAACCCTTCATTAGCTGTACCGGGGGAATCTCCATTTGGTACAGATATAATGGGAGACTGATCGATGCCCGGGTGCGGTCAAGGGATGTCTCCCTATTGCTCAACCACGTTATGTATGCCGATGATTTGGTAATAGCTGCTCATTCAGAGGAGGATTTGGAGACGCTGCTGCTGAGACTGGAGCGTGCCACTAAGATATGGGGCCTTACCATCAGCCCCACCAAAACTAAGCACCTGCCTGGGTATTTTGTACCATCGGACACTCCACCCCCACAACTCCCAATCGGTGATAGGGCAGTTGTGGAGAGAGTGAAGAGTTTCCCATACCTGGGCAGTGTGTTTATGACCGGCTCCAGTTTAAAAGCAGAGGTCTCACTCCGAATCGGTCGAGCGGCAATATCTTTTCATCGGTTGCGTAACGCTGTGTGGAAGCTACCTGGTCTGTCGCTCCGCACTAAGCTTCAGGTCTTCTCGGCCACGGTCATTCCCTCCCTTCTCTACGCTTGCGAAAGGTGGACCCCCTTAATGGAACATCTTCGCCGGTTTGAAACATTTAGGCTAGCCTGCCTACGATCCATCCTGGGTTTAACCAGAATGGATTGTGTGAGCTCACAAATCATTTAAAGATCTGGGCAAGGTCCCATCGGTGAGCTTCTCCGGCAGGCAAGGCTGCGTTGGCTGGGTCATGTAGCCCGCATGGTCAGCCACCCCATACCGAAACAGCTTTTGTTCGGCCGGATCGAGGGGGCTAAACGGGCGCGGCATGGGCTAGAGAAGAGATGGAGTGATGTGGTACAGGAGGACGTGGAGCTGAGTGGACTTGCCGATGACCGGTACCAGCGGTGTCAAGATCGGCCTCTGTGGAGGAGGCTCGTGAAAGATGCTACTGGGCAGTTGGGGGCAGTCCCCCTCCAACAACAACAGAGGGCGGAGGAGCGACGTTAACAACAACGAGCGGAACGCCGGGTGGCTAAAGCACAGCAGGTTGGCACAGTAAGGGGCACAGGTGGTGCATCAGCCAGTCATCTCAGTCAGTTGACCCGTGGCACCTGGGTCTGCCCCGTGACCTCCTGCCAGCGGGCGTTCGGCACTTCACGTGGCCTCAAGGTGCACATGGCCTGGCACAAGCGTCGTGGTGACGTCACCGCCACTTAGTGGTGAATGGCAGTTGTTGTTGTGTGAGGAGTGGGGTGAGTGTACGTGTGTGTGTGTGAGGAGTGGGGTGTGTGTGTGAGGAGTGGGGTGAGTGTACGTGTGTGTGAGGAGTGGGGTGAGTGTACGTGTGTGAGGAGTGGGGTGAGTGTACGTGTGTGTGAGGAGTGGGGTGAGTGTACGTGTGTGTGTGAGGAGTGGGGTGAGTGTACGTGTGTTTGTGAGGAGTGGGGTGAGTGTATGTGTGTGTGTGAGGAGTGGGGTGAGTGTACGTGTGTGTGTGTGAGGAGTGGGGTGAGTGTAGGCGTGTGTGAAGAGGAGCGGACCGGGCTCCAGCAGATGAGCTCGTTTGTATCGGGGTCCTCCACCAGCGTCCAGAGCTTGCTCAGGAAGGCCGGCACGCTGCTGCTGCCGCTGCCGCCGCTGCCGCTACTGCCGGGCCCCCCGTCCATGGCTGGCGACCCGGGCCGGGGGCGGCAGCTGCTCGCCAGTCTTCGGCTTCTGCGTGTCTGCGTCTTGAATGCACCTACCTACCTACTTGGATGTAGAGAGTGGTTCTCGTGTGCTTATTTTTTGCGTAATGGTTAACGTGGAATATATTTAATGTATGTAATGTGTGCAATACGTAAATGTAACTTATTTCGCACCGTACGTAACCAACCGTGCTAATCAAGGTATTGAATCCCGTGTATACTGTATTTGGTAGGTGCGTGTTTTTAATCTGTATCCGTGTTTAATGTGTGTTTAGTGTGTTTTAGTGTGTGTTTTAGTCGGCTTGTGTGCGAGTACTGTGCAGGGCGTGGGCGAGGTGAGGAGGCTCGCGCGCCAAGGCCTCGCTGCCTGGGAGCGAGGAGGCAGGCGCGACGCGTGTGTTGAGCGCCGTGTGTACGCGTGGTGTGCGTGTTGTTTCTGACGTGATTAACGCCTGTTTGGTGTATGGTGTGTATGTTTAACGCGTGTTTAGAGTGTATGTAGTGTTCAGGCGCGCCTGTGACAGAGCACACTGGGCCTCAGAGCACGCCTGTCGTAATAGTGTTAGATGTGCAGGTGTGTTACACGTGTGTATTGCGCTGTGTGTGTGTCGCGCTGTGCGTTGTATTGTTGATTATGTATGTTGTGTGTGTAGTTGGTGTTTTCACAATATATGGCGCTGGCCGAGAGAGTTGATCTCTCCGTGGCTGGGCCGAGCTGTCGTCGAGCGTGCGAGTGCCTCACCCCACTCTCAGTGCGTCATGACCAAACGCGTCCGGGTCACTCGCCCATTACCACCGCACACTCCACCACCACCGCTCACCCACAGTCACCCACACTATCCACACCTCATCCCTACTCGCAATCCCCGCGTGTGTGTGTCAGTAATAAAGGATTCATACAATAATTACATTGTGTATAACGCTGCACCTTGGCCTATGACCCCTGCACGGGAAGTGACGATGGCCTGGCGTCATGGGGTCAAGTGGCTCTGTGTGGCCGTGTGTTTGCTGGGCCGATGCCAAGATTGGGGCCCCCTGCTCTTCGTGGTATGTTCCACGTTCAGCAGCAGTCTCCAGCGCCTTCTCAGCGAGCAGCAATTACCAGATGATCAGCAGAACAATCCCCACCTCTTTGGTGACAACCAGTCGGTAACACTGGTGGCCGTGTGCAGTGCCATGGGGGGGGGGCGGGGGAGGCTGTTCCTGATTATCTTTCAACCTCATGGCACTCGCAGCCGTGGGCCACAGTGGCCAAGGAGAGCTCTGGACGTGTCCGAGGGGCTGATAACTCCTCCACACTCAACGCAGTTAGGACAACCACGCAGACAAGCTTGTGCGGGGTGGGGGGGTGTACAGGCGGCTGGACGTCTCCTTGCCAAACCCCATTTTGCGTTGCCATCCGTACGGTACCACAATAGACCTGACAAGACAGATTAAAGGAAAATGTAAACAAGTTGGATTTGCACAAAAGAAGCAAAACAATCAAGCAGCAGAATGCCAATGCAGCAGCAAAAATCCCTACACCCCGCTCCACACACCACATTGCTAACGGTGGAGGTTGATTGACAAGAAAGCACAAGTCAAGTCATGACCCAAAGTGGAATATGACATTTTTCCAATGATTGCTGAGTCTATAACCTTCCTCTCGGTTGAAATTGTCTCTGTATATATGGATGGCTTAATGAACGAATCTGTTGATAGCCAGTAGGCTTGCAAAGTACCATCGTCTTAGAGAAATCAATTTCGTGTGAGCCAGCCGCATTAAAATAATGATCAGCCACGGCAAAAGTATTGGTTCTACCATGTTTCAAATCTGCCTTATTTTCACGGACACGGTCCGAGACATGTCGCTTAGTTTCCCCAATGTAACTGCTGCCGCAGACAGATTAGTTTGTAGACACCGGGATATTGCATGTCAGGAATCTTGTCTTTCACAGATGGAACCAGATTACGAATTTTATGTACTGTGTTAAATCTGACCTGGATCTTCTGTTTGTTCATGATTTTGGAAATATTTTTGGTTACCCCTGCTCTGTATGGCAGGGTGATAGTTTTGATTGGATCCTCAGAAGGCTCCTTCCTCACGGTTGGGGTGATGGCTTTGCAGATTGTGTAGTCAGAATATCCATTCGCCTTGAGAGCTTGGTGTACGTGTTTGAGTTCACTGTTTAGGTGTTCATGGTCGGAGAAAGATTGGGCTCTATGGTGTAGCGTTTTTATGAGGGAATTCTCCTGCGATGGATGGTGGTGGGAATCAGGTTTTAGGTAGGCATCAGCATGGGTTACTTTCCTGCAGACAGAGTGGCTCATCGAGCCATCTGGTCTCTTTTTTATTAGGCCAGATGACAAACATGTCATCTACGTACCTCTTCCACAGGGATGGGCGTAGAGTGGATGTCTGGATGGCGTCCGTCTCAAATTTTTCCATGAAAATATTGGCTACAACCGGAGATAAGGGAGAACCCATTGGGGTGCCTTCAGTTCGTAGAATGTTCCATTCCAGGTGAAGTATGTATTGGTGAGGCAGTGTCTCACCAGGGCCGGTACATCAGCATTCAATCCTTATTGGACCAAATCTTCAATGATTGCAATGGTATTGGGCACAGGAACTTTGGTGAACAAAAAAACTACATCGAAACTGACGAGTAAATCACCTGGGGACAGTGAGATGTCTTTAATTGACGATAGCAGGTGAGATGAGTTAAGAACAGAAGACAGATATCGAGCCAGTTTGTAGGAGGGTGAGCCAATGGTGGAGACAATGGGATGAAGGGATGTACCTTCTTTATGGATTTTTGTAAGCCATATAGTCTGGGTGGTCTAGCAGCAGAAGGTTTTAAGGAAACCCGTTTGGTCTGTTCAATTAATGAAGCTGACTCAGTGTAACGAGGCAGTTGGTGGGATCTCTTTTAATTTTTGTGTAGCTACCATCATTAAGAAGGTCCTGAATTGTGTTGTACACGTTTTTGTCCATGATGACCATGGCATTGCCCTTGTCGTCTGAGAGGATGACGACATCTTACCTCTTTTTTTATTGAAATAACTCAAAGCGCTCCTGCTTACTTATTTTGCTAACTGTCATCTTAGCGCTTTTGAGGGTTGCAGCGATTTCAGATCTTGTCACGTCTGCAGTGATGTCTTCTTTATGGATTTTTTGGTGAGCCATATAATCTGGGTGGTCTGGCAGCAGATGGTTTTAAGGAAAACCGTTTGGTCTGTTCAATTAACGAAGCTGCATTAGTGATGATATTGTTAGTTTTTGTAACAAGGTTGTTGGTGGGATCTCTCTTAATGTTTGCTGCTGCATTGGCATTCTGCTGCATTGGCATTCTGCTGCATTGGCATTATTGCTGCATTGGCACTCGTGGACTGCCCATGCTCCTGGTTCTGTTGATAGCTGATATTTTTATTTACTTTTTATTGTTATTTTTTCTATCTACGTGATTTTACAGAAAGAACCAAAGAATACTAAATTGGGTTTAGGTGTAGCAACATCGCCCCCTACTGCAAACACTTGGCAGGACCCTACAAAAACCTTCAGACTCCGTAAGGCTTTCCTGGCTAAACAAGTGTAATAATAGTGTTAATATTCTTTGGTTCTCTCGGTAAAGTCACGTAGATAGAAGAAAAAATAAGTAAATAAAAACAATAAAATAAAAACAGACCTAAAGAATAAAAAGTAATTGAAAAAAACACTAATGTAGACTGTAGCCTTGTTCTTAATCGGAGTGAGTATACTGGCAATCGATAATGTAGACTGTAGTCTGGTTCGTAACCTCGGTGAGCGTGCTGACAGTCTATAATGTAGAACTGTAGCAATGGTTAATAAACTGAGTGTGACTTTACCGAAAGAACCAAAGAATATGAATTCCTGCAATCACGAAAGTTTTAAGGAAAAATTTACATTGTGTTAATGTTTCAGTCATTCGTGCAAACGCCTTAAACGGCGCCGAGACGAATCCGTGGCCCGCCTCCCGTGGCGAGCAGCGCGACGTCATCACGCGTGCGCGTGCCATCGATGCAGCGGCGGCCATTTTGTGTAGGGACGGTGCACGTGGCACAATGGAGTCGTCTAATGACGTCGCTTCCGCTACACCGCAGAGCGAGACCCACGTGTGTGCAGCATGGCCTCCTCCTCGGCGGCGCGGGCGAGTGGCGGCGACAGCAGCAGCAACAGTAGCAGCAAGCGGCACGCGGAGGACGAGGAGCCGGACGCCGCGCAGGCGAGTGGGGGGCCTGGAGCGAGTGGGCGGCCTGGGGCGAATGGGGGGCCTGGGGCGAATGGGGGGCTTGGGGCGAATTGGGAGCCTGGGGCGAGTGCGAGGCTCTGGGCGAGCGCGAGGCCTGCTGCTAGTGCTGGGCCAGGAGCGAGTGCGGGGCCAGGGGCGAGTGCAGAGCAAGGAGCGAATGCGGGGCCTGTGAGTGCGGGGTCAGGGGCGAGTGAGGGGGCATGGGTGATTGGGGGACATTGGGGCAAGTGCATGGCTAGCGGCGAGTGACCACGCATCCCTTGGCCACGTTGACCCCGTTATGTCTCGAGGGTGAAAGCAGCTCATTGCTGATCCAAAGCAACTCAACACGTTTTTAATTGCACGGTGTGGTCTTAAAAATAAAATGTATAATTGACGACGTTTTGGAGAGTGGCCCTGAATAGCACAAACCGAGGCCAGAGTATACGTAAACATGGTTGGGAGACTGTACTTACCACCATGTTTTCTTACCGGTTTTTAAACAGGCGTATGCACAGTTACTGGATAGTAGCTCTTGGGTAACAGACAAACCCTTTAATAACCCTTCAATAATCTAAATGTGTTTACGACTGAATAATCATGGTTATATAAAAAGTTACGTTATGAGATGTTACTGGCGCATTGCATTATGAGAATGATTGTGAGCACAAGGCACAGTCTGCCCAATCACCACCGTCCTAATAGCAATTTTACCGCCCTACGCTCCTGAGGCAGAGAAAATGAAACAATATGAAACTAATTAGGCGCGGCGTCCGGCCTCACATAGTCACTTTAAGATGTTTTTCTTGTTCGTGTTTTTGTTTTTTTGTGGTTGCGCCCGATTCAAGAGCCAAATGGGTCACAGGGCTATACCAAAATAAATAAACTGAAACTGTCTAGCGCTTAATAATGAAACTTTTCATGGAAGGTGAGGCGTTCATTCACTCCTGCTAGCTGAACCGAGTTCAGTTTCAATGTGAGGCAGCTGCCGTCTCCTCGTCCTGGTCTTACTTCCCCCACCCACCAGATATCAAGACGAGACCACAAGCCCCTGGCTTGGACGTGATATATTTTCACGGCGAACTAACAGAAGATGTTGGGCAAACCTGTCATCTAGGCGTTAGCAGTTACTCCAATGTAGTGGGGGTCACAGCGTTTGGACGCTGTGCAATAAACCAAATCGATGGGGGTGCATGCAAACCTAAGATGCGTTTTTTTCCGCATATCGGTTTATGTGAAGATGCACGTGTTTGCTTCTTCTCCGATACTGTTATTGCTGGCGTTTCGCATCGAGCCGTGTATTCGCAGGTCCCTGAGGTTTGTGATTTTGTAGAACGCACAGAGAGGTGGGTTCATTAAAAATAAGTAATATTTAAAAAAAACTTTTTTATAAAAACACGCTTTTAAGAAATGTACTTGTAATGGAAGAACTCCACGACTCCAGGAAGTGGCCCCGAAGCTTGCCACAACGTAAGGGGACCGTGGCCAATTACAGCCAACGTCAGTTGACCGTAGACAATCTGACCCAAGCCGAAACATAACATAAAAAATAATGTTTAAACATGTGTTTTTTTATGATAGAATATAGTTTTGTCATCAGTATCACATGTAAGTATACCAAGTTTGCAGTCGATACCACATTGGGAAGTGGGTTA